CCCCGCCAGTCTTAATAGTTTTATTTTACCCGAGCAAGGTGCAAGGCGTCTATACCCAATTAACTTAATTTTATTTTTTTTCATTTCCTCTAACTTATCCCTGCTTCGTTACCTACCTCCGAAAACCTAACTTCGAGAGCTACTTTGCTCATCCTCCTGTTACACACTCTCGGACTTCCATATTCCCAATTTTAAATTACTTTCCCTGCGGTGACATAGAGAAGATATGATACCGAACCGAGCAAGTCGAAAGAAAACAGAAAAGACCGGAAGAGCGAAGAAAAGAAAAGAGACAAAAGTGCTTTACTAGAAGTGAACAAGGAGCAAAAAGAAAAAAAAAATGGGAAATAACTTGAAAATCGTTTACAAAAAGTTTGAATGGTATTACTCGAAAATGTTCTCGGTTAATTTTGACATTTTCTCCTTTATTTTTTGTCTAAGGGCTAATCTAATACTTAATGGTGCTCCTTGAGGTTATATGCGATTTGGTTCCTCGATAATCCTTATGGTGGAAAGGGTCTTCTTGTCCTGCATGTATATATATATTTTTGTCAACGTACCTCGCCCATAGCTTTAATAATTAGTAACGTTATATGTTATTCTTTTCGTCCCTTTATTGTTTAAAAGCAGGAATCAAGTTACTACCTATGAAGTTTTCCGCTCTTATTTCATTTTTACTTTTTGTATAACTATTCCATATACCTGTTACTCTTCGTCTCATGGAACTATCCAAAAGCTCTCCTCTCCCACCCCACCTCGGCTTCACGAAATAGCGTTCATTCCCCGCTAGATATAGCCAGAGGACGTTAGAAGAAACTGATATCTACCCATCAAAAAGTAGAACAGCGACCGCCCGGATTTAAAATGGAGCAGTTCATCCTCATACCTTAGTCGAACGGGAGATTATAGGTGACAGGGTTGGGTTGGGTCGTTACGACTAATATGTTCGTATTCAGTTCTATCAAATAGGTATCAAAGGGAATGGAAAAATAGGCTGTGAGGTAAAGAGAGAGGAATGAGGTAAGAAAAGGGAAGAGGGATGCAATAGAGAATGGACAAAAAAAGAGAAAGAATCCGAAATCTGAAACGCCATGAGGATGTTCCGTTTCTACGCCAATTCTTTGCCTGCTTATGAATTTTCCGATTGAACCGTTTGCTAGATGACGAAAACAAAGTATTATTAGTTATCCGGGTAAGAGTAGTCATTCGGAATCCGTTTCACGAATCGGCCATGATACTTACCACCAACCAATCCATCCCTTCCTCAATTCCCTTCCCATCAATAGCAGAACACGCTACAATACTCCAGTTACGATCCCGCAGCTCACCCAACTTCAACGCCTCGGAAATCTCCCCAGCACCCTTTGCGCCCGGCTGGTCCTGCTTATTCGCGAAGACGAGCAGCGCGGCATCGCGGAGTTCCTCCTCGTTCAGCATTGCGGCTAGTTCATCTGAGGCCGTCCCGAGCCGTTCGATGTCGGTGGAGTCAATGACGAAGATCACAGCGGCAGTATTGGCATAGTAACATCTCCAGTAAGGGCGGATGGAGGTTTGTCCGCCCAGGTCCTATTTTCGTTTGCGTTAGATATATTTTAGGGGGTGGGTGGAAAGCATTGCGAAGAAAAGGAGACGGAGAAAAGCAAGGAGACGGAGAAAAGCATGGAGGGGGGAGTAGAGGCCCAGAAACATACCCAGACGTTGAAATTGAGGTTTTTGTATGTGACAGATTCAACATTGAAGCCGATTGTTGGGATGGTTGTGACGACTTCGCCGATCTAGATGGAGATTAGAGATGTTGTCAATACAACATTACACCTACAAGGAGATATGGACCCATACCTTTAATCTATAGAGTAACGTTGTCTTGCCAGCATTATCCTAAATAAAACCAAAAAAACCCGGGACTGTTAACCCTTCATCTAAGAAAATATCCGGTATATTCCCCGTCAAACGGGATTCTCCAATACTCACAAGCCCCAAAATCAAGATCCGGATTTCCTTCTTTGTCCAAAACAAGCCTGACAGTAATCTTGATATCGATCCGCCCATGATTGCTTGAGGCGTAAAAAAGAGTATATAAAACTACTAGGAAACGAAACGGAAGCCGAGAGGAGGCGGAAGAGAGGGATATCTGTCGTCTTCCAGAGACGCAGGTTTCACTAGGTCAACCAAGTGACAGACCCGGAGAAAAGAGTAGTCTTTAAAGCCAAAGCAAGGCAGTCTGTTTATCTCAATCTGATTGTTGTGTTCGTGTGCAAATAGGAGGCGTAGGCTCAAAATCCGGAGAGAGCGTATTGAATGACGTTGTGTGAGAACCGGAAGAGCTGGCTTCGAGCGGATGTTTCAGGGGGAAAGCGGGTATTAAATAAGGAGGATTAAATCAATACGCAATGCAGGCGAATAGCATGAAGCATAGGTGAAAAAGAAGGGCTGTTGTTGTTGTTGTCGTGAGCGCGGATGTTAGAGCTGTTGAGCGCATATCGGAGCTTGGTCCGTGGTGGGCGTTTTAGCCGCGCATGGACGCTGTTGCTGGTCTTGGCCCAACGAGGATCATTTTTATTCCTTTAATGCGCCGATTGCCTTCATTGCCTTCATGCAACAACCACCCTCCGCCAACTGGACCACCCCGCAACACCAGAACGGGCGGCAGATCTGACAGATCTGAAGAGAACGCCTTATTAATTCAGGCTTCATTGGAACCTCCCGGGCTGCTTGTCATCTCTCAATTTCCACGGCCTGCGCTACGTCTAGACTCGTTTATCCACTTGCGGGATTCCTACGAGGCGAACTATCTGAATTAGCACCGCCACTTCCATTACGAAATTCATCTCCGCGTCCTAAAGATATTTCGCGAGACTACTACCATCTGCACCGCTGTCTATAGTGATCTCATTCGCAGTTGCACTTTCATTCGTCAACCCGCCTATCCTTCGCCCTATTTGAAGTTCGACCTGCCTCGCGCGGACTACAACATATCAAGATGGTGGGCAAGAAATCAGGGGCCAGCGGGGAAATGCTAAGGAAAGAGGGTATGTTCTCGTCTCTTCGAGGCAAACGGGAAGACTATATCGACTGCTATGGTGCTGACTCTCACATGCTGGGTGGTATAGGACTGGCGAGATTCAACAACAACATGGGCCTTACGAGCTGGCCACAAGTTCCTCCTATTAATCAGAAGAATTACTACACGTAAGCATGACCTATATAATTCCATTCAAAGTTCTATAATAATACCATCAGAAACCGGAGAAATTGGGCTTGTGCTAATAATTTATGCCGCAATGCTGAATCGCATAATTTAGAGAGTACCTAAAGCGAGACGATCAAATCCTCGCCTACCGACTTCAAAATGAAGAGAACCGCAATCGCATGACCAAAAGCGCCAAGGATAGAGATAGAGCACTTGCAATGGCGAAAACCGAGCTTCCCTTACCAGAACCCGAGCTAGACGCAGACGGAGACACCGGGGAAGGCGCAAATGGGGAGTCCGCTGAGGAGCTGGTGGGCTCCAAAACTATCGTTATGCATGTGGGAAGCCAGAACCTACGAATCGGTCTCGCAAGCGATGCGTTGCCCAAAACCACGCCTATGGTCATCGCGCGGAAGTCCCATGAAAACGAAGCCGAAGAGGGTGGTGGTGAGCCTAAGCCGAAACGGTTGAAGCTTGATGGTGGACAGTTTATGGAGCCGGAGAAGATGTTTGGTCCAGAAGTCTGTTATATGTATGTCCATTAGAATTTCTAGGCTGTCACTGACAAAACTTTCTACAAACAGTTTGCGTCACAATACACCACGATGTCCGCGGAACTCAAAGCGCATATGCGCGCAAACAAAAGGAGAACACTCCCGAACTCGAAAGAAATGGTGGTCAATTATAATCGCCGAACCGTTCCTGAAACCATTTCCGAGCATAATGACCCAATGCGTATCGAATGGACGGAAATCCCCTCTGACCCGGAGGAAGCTCCTGAGTACCTGACTGGGGAAGCTGCCCTCAGAATACCCGACTATTCCAAACCTCGATATAAGCTTTTTTGGCCGATCAGACATGGGTGGCTTAACGAAAGAGATTATGATAATAAGACTTTATTGTTCCTCGATATCGCACTCATCCTCGAGGATGCCATGAAAACCCAGCTGAACTTGACCGGCAAAAAGGATTGGAGTCAGTACTCGTGCGTGTTCGTAATTCCCGACCTCTACGAACGAGCGTACGTTACTCAGATTTTGGAGATGCTGATGCGAGAGTTTGGATTTGCGCGAGTATGTTTTGTGCAGGAGAGTCTCTCAGGAACGTTTGGGGCCGGGTATACTTCAGCCTGCGTGGTAGACATCGGCGCTCAGAAAACCTCCATATGTTGCGTTGAAGAAGGCATGTGCATTGAGAATTCCCGCGTGAATCTCAAATATGGCGGTGCAGATGTGACGGAGACTTTCATCAAAATGATGCTCTTCGATCACTTCCCGTACGATGAGATCAACCTAAATCGACGCTATGACTTCCTGTTGGCTGAAGAGCTGAAGAGGAACGTCTGTACCCTGAATGAATCCAACGTTTCCGTCCATGTGTTTGATTTCCATCTCCGAGCCTCCGGCCAGGATACGCGCAAATACACATTCAAAGCCTATGACGAGGTCATCCTTGCCCCTATGGGTTTGTTCCAGCCCGAAATTTTCGACGTCTCCCAGAAACTAAAAGGTCGGAGAAAGCTGATCAGCCGCTCATACGACTTGTACGATGGACAACCCAACGACCCCGCCTCAGCCGCGCAGTCTGACCTTCTAGCGGCAATTGCGCCTCCCCTACCAGCTAATAACACTGGCACCTCGCAGACAAACTTTGCTGAAGTCCAATCCACACCAAGTCGCTCTCAAGCAATCAACGCCATTAGTCGGTTACAAGACCTGGAAGCAACCCCTCGGTCCTCCGTTGCGAGCTCCCCTGCGCCGGACGCAGTCAGCACCCCGCAGCAGGGTGGTTCAGGAACACCAGCCCCAGCGTCGCAGGCGCCAGCGGCAGCCTCCAGCCCTCGTCGACCCACGGTCGAAGAACGTGATGACGTCCTCCCTATATTCCCACTCGACAATGCCATCTTCACGGCCATCAGCGGCTTTGCCCGTGTCGATGAACGGAAATTCACTGATTTTCTAGGAGGCGTGTTGGTAATTGGTGGTGGGAGTTTGACGTCTGGTTTCCATTCGTTTCTTGAAGAGCGGATACAGTTACGGCGGCCGGAGTTTGCTTCGTATGTTATGGTTGGTTCGCCGCCACGCGAGTTGGATCCGCAGGTCGTAGTGTGGAAGGGGGCTAGTGTATTTGCGAAGTTGGATGCGACGAATGATAGCTGGATTAGCAGGTTGGAGTATGATCGCTTGGGGAGCCGGGTTATGACTTATAAATGTATGTGGGCTTGGTGAAAGGCGTGTTATGAGTATATTTTGATGGCGCGGGAGAGGTCTTTTTTACACCTTTTTGTTTCCTCCCGTGCGCGACGAGTGGACTTCAGAGCTTTCTTGATTTTTGAAAGACAAAGATTAGAACTTTTTTGTTATGATATAGTACATCTTTACAACTTCCAGCAGTATCCTTGAGACTATTACTATGTGCTGCTATAGGGCTTCCTTCCACCCCCCTCGATATCCACATATGTGCCAAGGGCGAATTAGGGTAGTTATGAGATCGGGAACATGTCGAAAAATAAGCTAATCCCTTTCCGGATGGCGGTCAGCGGAGGCAGAACTGATATCGCGCCGCATCAAGACTTCACCTCCGTCGCCCGCAGGACATTGTGTTTGCCCAACATATATCTCTTTACATCGCTGCTGCTCTCCAAAGCACCATTGTGTTCCTAGTTTTAGTCAGCAGCATCGAAGCTGTCATAAAGACCCATAACCCGTCAGGTAAGTGGTTTCAGTCCTCCAAGGCGTAGAGTTGGAGCTCCACATCTCCTTTGTCGCAAGGTTCCTGACCCGAGAGTAAGGCACACATCTAACTTCCTTTTGCCAGAGTTACTATATTCCCCGGCCTTGGTGGCTGTTGCCCGGTGGCAGCAATGTCAAAAACTAAGGATGGCCACTCCGGTGAGAGCTATCACCAGGAGTACATCGCCTCCCTGCGGTATCGGAATGATCTGCCACCGCCCGAAATGCCGCCTAAATTTCTAGAAATCCCACACGAAGGTCTAGAGCGGTTTCTGACACCGGGGTTTGCGTCGAACATGGCGCGCCGTGAAGAGCCAAATATCGATGTGGATGCGGAGGGTGGTATGCCAATTGACTTGGTCGGCATTCCGGGCCTGCATCTAGGAGATGAGAGCGGTACGGATGTCCTATTTCCTGCGTTACAATCAATTGGAATATAGCTTGAACAAGTCGACTAATATATTCCGGTTCGTGATGATTAGCTATCATGGCGCCTGAGAATCCCCTTCCAGTCGACCCCGCCGATCTCCCACTCCTTATGACTCTCGACCAACTAAGAAACCCCGCCCCAAAAAACTCAAACGTGAGTTTCTTGCGGCGCACTCAGTACATTGCTGCTGGTGTTGCTGCGCGAGGGGTTGATGGAAACCTCAAGGCAGCGCCGCTGATGGCTCCTAGTTCTGTGAAATCTTCACCCGCTGCAGCGAAGGCTGCTAAACTCTCCCGTGACGACCCGATACATGTCAAGAAATACATTCAGAAAGGTTTTGATATCGCGTATCCAGAAAGCAAACATAAAGGCGAAGACACGCCTAGTAGAATTAAGGGGTTACCAGCTACCAAAGCAGAAATCGACGCCTGGGCGAACCCAACACATCCAGACAATCCAAAACTAAAACCTGTCGGATTTTTCCCCATAATCCCAGATCTAGGCGGTTTCCCTGACCCAGGCGGCTTCGTACAATTCAAATTCGACAAAGCACCCATCCAAGCAGCACAGGGACGACGTGATGAACGCATGGATGTCGGAATCCTTGTACCCTCTGCTCCAGAAGAGCGTGTCTGCCAAGAACATGCCAGTAAAACCGCTCTACACAAAGCCAATCCATCCCTATATCCAGATCCAGGCCCGATACCCTGGGATTACGATCTCTTCCTTCCAGAGAGGCAAGGCACAGCTCCTCAAATAAAAAACAGCCTGAACGTCTGCAACTCTCACCGCGACGACGCGGAGAACTACACGCACGAAGCTACCGGCTCCGACGAGACGCCGCTAAAATACCACCGCTACGACCGCATCCGTACATACGCCACCAGCTTGCAACAGCTAAACCCCGAACAGAAATACAAGGACGTTGCCCTCGTGCTCTTCGACCCGGCCGAAGCGGCAGCAGAAGAATCAACTTACAAATCCTCCTCCACCACTACCATACCCCACCGCCTCAAGCAGAAAGCCGCCTACTACTATCCCATCCTAGGCAAAACGCGTCTGAAGCCCGAGCGTGCCCGGACAATCGCGCAGGCGGGCTTGGCGCCCACACGACCGAAGGCCAAGGAGGAGCAGGTGCATCAGATTCAGGTCGTTGTGCGGGATCCAGATGAGGCGGAGGAGTATAAGCGGGCGTCGCATCGGGCACAGGTGGATTCTAGATTTGCGAAGACGCTGGCCGCGCCCCCGCCGCCACCTGAGGAGGAGGGTGCCAGCGAGCAGGATGTGGATGAGGCAGGCAAGGATGAAGTGCTCGCGGAGGGGGTGGCGGGTGGGAGAAGGGAGGAAGGCCGGGATGAGAATGATGCGGGGGTTGATGAGGAAACAGATGGGGAGAGGAGGCGAGGCAGTGTTGATGAGGATGAAGAGATGGTTGACTCGTGATAGGGGGGTAGGAATTAGGATTGGGGTGTGTTTGACATTTGGATAAATGGAAATGATAATTTTATACTACATTTATTTTCCCTTCTGCTGTTCCGATCTCTTCTTCCCTCTTCTTTGTAGCCGCCCCTTCGTTGTTTGCCCCTATTGGCATTTCAGAACGGAGATGTACATGTACTATTATCTAGGCGAAAATATTTACACACAACTAGCGATGGTATTACAGGAGAAGTTCCTTTAACTTGGCACCCTCTATTGTCATTTCGAAGCAGGGAACCAACCTAACCACCATTGCTAGCTTACCTACCGTGTCCAAATGATACCCAATGCATAATTTCCAAGACCTCCTTGATTCCAAACAGGACATCCGCATATCCACTTCTTCCAACAAGTTATCCGACGCCAATAAATATAGTTGTTCGAGTATATTGGCGGTTCGTAAACCCATCGCTGGATACACTCGCATCTCAACAACAAGACGAACACTACTTACATACCAGCCGCCAGCAGTCTGCTGTATATACTCCTCACCTCTCAGCCAGCAACGCCACCACAAGACAGGAGGTACGTAGCTCCGGGTATATCACCATCCATATCACTAAACCGCTCATTTTGGCGAGCGCCACCAGGCGTTTTCGCACATATCCAGCCAGCTGACAGTAGGGTGGTACTCGAGTAAGGAGCGCGAGCGTACCGTTAAAAGCCAGAAATAGCATGACATTTGCGAATGTTCAAATTTTCTCGCTTCGATCCCCCTCCATCTGTGGTGTCGAGCTCACGCTGAGTTGGTAGCGATGATATTAGACAGTAGGCATAAATGGACGGCAGGGGAATTTATTAAGGTGGGAGCGATAGTTAGATCGATGGCCAAAGGGGCAGAGGGATGATGAACATACCTAAAGCTGGCCGCAGCCGGCCTCCCAATCGATCTAGGGAGGGACGTAATTCATCTATTCTTATAACTGGAGAAGGGAAATAATGAAATAGAATACAGAATCATTTTTTCAAGGGTATATATACATTTTAAGTTACATATACAAAAAAAATATCTCAAATACTTGGAGGGAAAAGAAGACGGACCAAACAAAATCTATCATACACTCAAAAAAACATACGCCAGCAGCAGGCCAAAAGGAAAAGGATAACTAACTAACAAGCACAAAGTAGGGGTACGGCCGGGACGGAAGGGAGCAGCAAGCCCAGGATGCGAATCCCACCCACCGAACAACGAGAAGAAGTAGAGTTTGAAAGATATCGTTCACCGTTCATTGGACGTTTGCCATGGGCTGACGCTTTCAAAAAAATCTTTATTCTCTTGTTGCTGCTGTTATTCCTTATTTCCTGGAGAAATGGCGAGAGAATAACAGAAGAAGGGGGGGGAAGGGGGGGATGAGAAAAAAGCACAAAAAAAAAAAAAAAAAAAAAAAACCAAATCAGACCAACCAAACATACATTTGATCACGCACCCAACCGAACCGAACTGCCAGGTCCGTACATACATCCCATAACCTATAACGCTGCTATCCGCTCCGCTCGCTAGACAGGCTAGGGGGGTTAAAAACGCGGGGGTCCCAATAAAAAGGGGCGGGTTTGTAAATAAAAGGGAAATGAACAACAAAGCCTGTTGAGAAGAAAGCAATGAAAAAATAGAAATGAAACTCCCACGCCCGGTTTGTTCGCTAAGAAGAAAAATCAGTCGAAAACAGAAATACAAAGATGCAAATTACCACCAAGCCGGAGAGAGAGATGTTACAAAGATCGAGAGAGGGATTGTGATAGAAAGAGGGAAAGAGGTGATGAAATCGTAAACCTAGCCAGTAGGTGGAGGTAGATAAGGTGGTGTGGGGGAGGAGATGTGAGGAACAACAATAGCGGACTACCCCACCCAATACGGCAAATACACAGAGTGTGTTTGTTAGGTGTGAACCAGCTAAGTTTCAGTTCCCCATCATCGCCGTAGCGGTATCAACGTGTATATCCGAATCAGTAACATCGACACGATCAACATCAGCATCGCCATCGCCGTCGACGTCGACATCGACATCAGTGCCGTCAGCGTCACCGTCCCCGCGTACGACACGCCGCAGGACACTCTTGTCAAAAAGGTCAAGGGCAAAGCGGCGTGCGGGCAGGCGGAAGTGATGGCTTTCGAGGAGGATGAGGGTTTTTTGGAAGAGAGGGATTCGGAGGAAGTATTCGGGTTTTTTGGTTTTGAGGCTGGAGTTTTTTTTGATATGGGTTAGTAGGAATAATTTGTCTTATATAGGCAGAAGGGAAAATACGAAGGAAAGAAAGCCCCTTTTTTTAAGGATGCTTCTAGTTGGCTACACGGCGCATAACGTATATATGTATGGCTTACCTGTGAAGATCCGACGCCGCCCTCTTCGACAAGACTGTATTGCCCATGTCGATGATCAGATTCAGTATCTTCTGGCGGACGGGATCAGAGTCTGTAGCGGCAGTTTTGAATCTTTCCTTCTCGGCACGTTCTTCGTCATCGTTGGGTTCATAAGCAGGGAATGAAATCTATCATCACGCAAGGCAGTGTAATTAGTAGGATAAAACAACGTAACCATGACCGCAAAAAAGGGGTATAACAAAGCATACCGAATAAAGCTTCCACAAATCAACGGGAATACACAAGCCGAGCGACCGCCCCTTCTGATCCACAGCCGCATCCCACCCAGCTTCCGTAAGCATCTCCATCCCATGTAGACTCCTCGAAATAAGCCCCAGGACAAAAAATGCCGTCCCCCGCATCGTCATCACCCCCGCATTCTCTGCAATCTTCACAATGGCCTCCACAATCTCCGTCTCCTCCAGAAACGGTGCACTCAGGTCCATGGACCCCACATTCCCCACCGCCCACAGACACCCTTTTACTTTCAACTGCACCTCCGGATCCTCCTCGTCTAGCCGAAAATCCCGAATCGTATGCGCAAACTCGTTGAAATGGCCCGACTGCTCCAGCAGCTTGCACCCTTCGTGCGTGCGCGCCAGCTCGCGGTAGAAGTGCGGCGGGACGAGGCCGATGTCTTGCATCTCGACGATGTCGTCGAAGGCAAAGCTGTTGCGGCGCGGTTGGTCGACGTAGGCGCGCGTCAGGGATGCTTCGACGAGGCCGACGTAGGCGTCGTTGCGGCCCAGGAACCAGTCGTCCATTTCCTGCGTGATGTAATCTAGGCCGTCGAGGTAGTGGTATCCGACGGAGGTTGAGAGGAAGCGGAGGAGCAGCGGGGCGCCGATTTCGCCTAGGTGGTCTAGCGATGGGCGGCATTTGACCACGTACTCGAGACAGTTGCGTTGGTTGCAGGCCTCCTCGAGGATTTTCACGGCAACTTGGCAAACGGCCACGTCCGGGTCGTATAGCTGTGTGACCAGCAGTTTGACAACCCACTCCCCACTGTCCATCCCAGCCATCGTACTACCCACGACGTACTTCCGCAGTAGCTTCGTTGCGAATATGCGAATATCCTTCGAGCCTGTGGTTAGGGCCTTGGAAAGAATAATCCGCAGATGGCTCTCGAGGGAGAAATCCATGTTCCCCAGCAACGCTTGGATGAGATCATTTCGATCCTTGAGTTCTATTATATGGTAAAACATGTTATGCATATGCCATCTCTCCATCATGTGAAGCCCGCTTGGCTCACTACTTAATACACCAAGTAACGCAAAATAGCCCCCACTTAACGTTTCGCTCATATTGTTCCGGGAGAATAAGGGTGATGACGACGTGAGGCCACTCATACGGTCGACTTGGGCAAGACATTCAGCAATCTGCCGCAGTAGTTTATTCTCCGCTAGGTATTTCGTTCCCTCGGGAGTCTGCAGGAGGGTCCGCATGAGTGCACAGCCCGTCCGGACATATCGCTGGTTCGGCTTCGTATTCCTAATCATAGAAAACCTAGACTTAAACGGCCGATAAAACCCCATCAAACGCTTCATGAATTTGGAGCCCCGAATCGCCTCATCCAGGCGTTTGGGGTTCGTCAACGGACCCTCAATAATGTTGTAGATCAAGTCCCATTTCCATTTCATGAAGTTCACAGAACTTAGGACGTGGGTATCTAGAATGGCCGTGCGAAAGTGGCCCTCGTCCATACTGGGGCTTAGTTTGGTTTTCCCCTGTTCGGCGGTCAGCAACGAAGCGGATATGTCCGCTTGCACTGTATACTTGCCCGGTGACGAGTGCATCCCGTCTGATCGGGTCAAGGTCCGGTTAATGCTCTCCATTTGGTAGACAGTCGATGTCGATATATGCTGATTCTCAGCATCCTTAGAGGACGGAAGTAATTGCGGGAGGACCTGAAGCTTGGCACTGATGGATTGCGGCAGAGAATGATGAGCCAGCTTCAGCACCTCTGTGAGAAGTAGTGTGGCTTTCCTCTTCAGGGATAGGTCGGGTTCGTCTTCTATTAAGTTCGATAGAGCCTAGAAGGCATATCAGTATCCAAATTAACTAAAAAACGAAGTAAAGGATATAATAAATTAATACCGTAATCAGTCCTGCTTCTATCAACACAGCGAGGATCAGGGCAGAAAAATGAGTCGTGAGGTCAAAATTGTTATTTTCATGTTCATAGAATGCGCGTAATTGTTTAGTATCAGGTTCCGATCTCAGATTAGTCACCCTGCCGTAGGTCGTAAGCCTCCTACCGGCAAGAAATGAGGATGACCATGACGGAGGCTTGATACGGAGAGCATCAAAAAGAAGTTCTAGGATCAAATCCCTTGCCAGGGGCTCAGGATATTGCAGGGAATCCAGCAACGATTTAAGCGGTTTTGCTCTGTTATGTAACAGCGTTAATAGGCCAGGCCAGGTTTTGAGCATGGAGGAAATGGCTTTAGCTGAAGATTTTAGCCTTGCATGGTGATTGCTATCCCCGAGCGGATCTGTGAAAGCGGCGAAAACTCCTTCTAGTTCAATGCCGGCCCGGAGATATTTCCTGTTGCGAGGGGTGTCTAGAATGTGTATAAACCCTGCGGCCAGGCTCTCCGAAGCGCCAAAAGCCCCCTCTCCAAGAGCATCGTTCAAGATACCAATCCCGCCGGCAGAGAAGAGAACGCCTGGGTCTTTGACCAGGATCTCCGCGAGAGTCATGATGCAAATGTTTCTCAGGCGATCGTCGCGATGTTCGGCAATGGAGACAAGTGTCCTGACTACCCCGCGTGACATCTCTCGAACTCCATCTTTAACATCAAGAAAGGCCCTGACAAACTTCAGCGCCTGCTCGCGTTCCATGGTTGCTTTAGTTTCCTTCGCGAGCGACATCATGACCAATTCATCCGTGTGTAACGACCTGATGATTTGGATAGACCGTCGATCGGCAATTGCATATCGTGTCAATCGGTATCCAGCAGCGACAACGTCTCTGCTATCACTGAGCAGCATTGCCTGAACCCGCAAGCCAAAGACATGCCAAGCCAGGTCATATTTTAACGTTGGATGCCGCTTGAACAGCTCCACAAGGTTATTCGCTCGTTCCACATAGTAATCCGACGGCATATCTTTGGTCTCCAGTTCCTGCAAAGTCTCCGCCAGGACATAAGTTGGCGACTCAGTCTCCGCATCGCCGTTCCCCATTCCTTCGTCCGGGCCCTGTGACGCCCGAGAAGGTGATCGCAGGGGACTCCCACGGAACAGCACTGATAAACGGCCCGAAGTGGGCGAATTTTGCGCCTGGGCCCGTAAAATCTCCTCCTCAAGTTCATGTCGCAGCTGGGCGAGTTTCATATTGGACGAACTAAGTTCCGACTCCACCCTCAACCGTTGCTCCTTGGTCTGCTTAAGATTTTTCGCCAACAGGGCCTCCAGCATATTTTCCGTCCCGCTCTTAATCTTCAACTCCTTGGCGATCTTGCCGCGCAGCACAGCCTGGCGCTGCTCCGCACGAGACGGAAGGTCGACTCCATCAAGAAGATTTATGCGGGAAGAGAATGGAAGTTCTGGGCGGGACGTAGACGTAGATGTCGACGGCGTTGTAGGACGGCGTATCGTGCCGATGCTTCTTAAATCTGAGCTGAAACTACCTGGCGGATGGCCAGAGGGAGCCAGGGAGGCACCCCGCGGCCCGAAATTTATATGGTTGTTGATACTGCTGCTGCTGGAGGTGGAGGCAGGTTTCTTGCCGGTGCCATTTCTCGAGGATTTGGAAGCGACATCGTGCCAGCTTCCATCGGTGGAGGTGGAGGTGGAGGCATCCTCCTGGCTTGAGAGTGAGGAGCCATCGTTCAGCACGCGATGCTGGGTTGGCGTCGCAGAGGAAGCCAGATCATACTTTGACGCCATGGGTCTCCATCTACCGCGCTTCCTAGGAGGAGGAGGAGCAGTAGCTTACCAGGTCCCCGGATCGCCCTTGAGAAGCACAGGTGGTAGATGGTTGCATTTGGAATTGCCCGGTTGTTTAGAGTAGTAGCTGATCAGTGTAGATCGGCAGGATATACTTCAGCAAGCGCTATAAGGGTCGTCAAATGTTCACCCGCGGTGTCGAGATTAGGCGGTGGTTGAGGGGACTTCCGCAAGCTAGGCTAGTAGTTAGTTACGGGGACCAATAGCACGCCACAGATGCTCCCCTAAACTTCGCAAGAATACAGGGCGCGGCGAGCAGGGCCCAACAGCTCGGGGCTGCAATACTGATCAAAGAAATGATGGGTAGTTAAGTAAGGAGTAAGTTAGAGCAGAAATATCCGCCTGTTCCTGACGCCGTTGGAGCATCAATTAATTAATTGATCGAGAGAGTTCTCCGGATCAGCATCGCGCCAAGGACGGACGGCCACGTGAAGTAGATCCTGAGTCACGTGTGTCGCCCTCTCATCCATGGATGCTTCCAAGGTTCTTCTTCCTGGCAGCAAGTTGCCAGTGAGTGAGCAGTGAGCAGTGAGTGAGTAGTTAGTGTCCTAGTAGTTGAGCAGGCCAGGCTTACCGCGCTGATATCACTGAGAGGAAGCTACAATGTGATGATGGTTAGTTATTTAATATTAATATTAGACAATAATGGAACTGTTGAAGCTGGTTGAAGCTGGCTTGGCCGCTTTTGCGATGAAAGGAGAGCTATCCAGAAACTACTATGTACAGTTCGGAAAAATATATGTTTTTAGTACTATTTTTAGGAGATTTTCCTCTTTGTTTATTTTTATTTATTTATTTATTTATTTATTTATTTATTTATATTTTTATTCTTATGTCACATATAGAAATGAACTATCATGGATAACTATCACTACGGAGTACGGAGTGCTGCATAACTATTTCCATCCTCACAAGCAGATCTCCATCCATGATTGCCTATAAATAAAATAGCCCGCCTCGTTTATCATATATTTATTTTATTTTACATTTGTATTTATTAAGAATTATTAGTTATTTAACTTGGGTAACTTGGGTTAAAGATCCCCGATCGATCCCCGGCTGTCGGCGCTGGCCGAAGCTGCACGATGCCCCGTTCCAACCTTTGTTCCAACCTTGTTCTGCTTGTTGCGCTTGTTGCGCTTGTTGCGCTGTGCCTGGAAACAGCTCAACCCAAGCTCCAGGGAACTAAGTGTGGACAGATAGATAACTTATTTACTTGCCAAATACATTCGTTGCTTTTATTCACTTTTGGAAAGCTTTAACTTCCCGCTTGCTGCCTCCATCGTTTGTTTCGTGAAGCTTCTTTCTTCCGGACCATCTATAGATTATTCTGCAGAGTTACTTACACCCGCTCTTCTTCTCTTCTCTTTAATCTATACCTCTCGTCTCTTCTTTCTTTCTTTCTTTCTTTCTTTCTTTCTTTCTTTCTTTCTAATCTATATATCCATCCCTCTTGGTTAATTCCTGCGGGGTTAATCGCCTACCACCAACCCATATCGAAAGACCGAAAAAGGAAGAAAAAAGGGAAACAATGACGTCGAGATTGGCCGCTGCTCGCTATGGCAAGGACAATGTCCGCGTCTGCAAGGTGCATCGCAACGAGAAGACGGGCGTCCACACCGTCGTCGAGATGACAGTATGCGTCTTACTCGAGGGGGATATTGAGACATCGTAAGCTCTCCTTTTTTTTTCTCTCTTCTTTCTCGTTCCAATATCAATGTCTCCTCCAGGGGGGAAGGAGGAAATAGAGCCAGCTTTGCTAATGCGCATCCCCTTCTATTAAAACAACAAAACAGCTACACCAAAGCCGACAACAGCGTCGTCGTCGCTACAGACTCCATGAAAAACACTATCTACATCATGGCCAAGCTACACCCAGTCACCCCGCCTGAGCTCTTTGCGTCCATCCTCGGCTCCCACTTCACAACCACATACCCGCACATCCACACCGCACACGTCGACATCACTGCCATCCGCTGGACCCGCATGACCATCGACGGTAAACCGCATCCACACTCCTTTTTCCGCGACGGCACAGATACCCGCAACGTCTCCGCCACCGTCACCGATGGCACCACCACCACCACCACCACCACCAAACACGGCACACCAACCATAAAACTCACCTCCTCCATCGCCGCCCTCTCCGTTCTCAAAAGTACAAACTCCCAATTCCACAACTTCATCCGCGACGAGTACACCACCCTGCCCGAAACCTGGGACCGGATCCTCAGCACAGACGTCGACGCAAGCTGGACCTGGCAGCCCTTCGCCTCCGTGGACGCCGTGAAGCGCGCCGCGCCGCAATTCGACGAAACCTGGCGCGCCGTCCGGGACATCACGATGCGGACCTTTGCGCACGATAATAGCGCCAGCGTGCAGAATTCCATGTACAAGATGGCGGAGCAGATCTTGGCCGTGCAGCCGTTGCTAGAGACGGTGGAGTATGCGTTGCCGAATAAGCATTATTTTGAGATTGGTGGGTTCTTACCTTTTTCTTTTTCTTTTTCTTTTTCTTTTTTTTTTTTTTTCTCTTTTTCTTTTTTTTCTTTTTTGTTTTTTTTTCTTGGGACACAGACTTGGGATACTTTGAAGCAAGCAGTTGCTGATCCGAAACCAAATTCCTTATAGACCTGAGCTGGCACAAGGGCCTGAAGAACACGGGTAAAGATGCGGAGGTCTACGCACCGCAGTCGGGGCCGAACGGTCTTATCAAATGCACTGTGGGTCGGGCCGGAGTGGACGGTCGGGAAATACCGAAGTTATAGAAATGTTAGATCAAGGGGGAGAGGTGGGGAGGAGGCGGATTTTGGGAAGTTAGCGGTGGAGGGAGAGAAGAAGCAAATGAGCGAGAGAAGATGATATGTAATCAGGATACTTTTCTAGGTTTCCTGTTATTTTTCTTTTTATATTTATGGTCTCTTTGCGAGTTATTTTACACTATCTATATAAATACATGTGCAGTGCATACATGACTTGTGCCCTCCGGCGAACCCGCGACCATTCAACAAAACAGGGCTTAGGCAGTGGAGAGATAGTAGAGATTTTTGAAAGTTACACCGATTTTGTTGATATCAAGTCTTAGTTTAGTGTACATGAAAGAACAAAGAGAAATTTGTTCAACCCGATTGTATATACTCCCTGTATGCAAAACAATAAAAAACAAAAAATAAGAAAGGAGTAGTGGAATAGAAAAAAAGGAAAATGGGCAGGCATCAGTAAAAGCAAATAGTGAAGAAAGCAGGGGCTCCCCAAAACTAATAAAGGGCAAGAATTTCTCAATCAAACAAATCAAGCCGTCGCTTTCTCCGCCCCCATCTCTGCCGCCTTCTCCTTCGCAAACGCCTCTTTCACCAGCGGTGAATCCGCAATCGAGCTCGTGGGTCCCAGGACGCTCTTCCCGCCTATTTTCAGGATATTCTTCTTGTACGGATGGGCGTGGCCTTCGAATACTGTGATAGTGAAAAAAGTAGTTAGTTAGCGCCTGCACTGCCGTTGAACAGTATCCCGTGTGCTCTTCGCACGCCGCCGCAGGGTCCCTTCCTTATACACAGCAAGCGCGGAGAGAAGACGAGAAGAGCAAAAGCACAAACCCTTCAACCGCGCCAACCGCTTCTCCCTCAACCGATTCTTGGGCAACATCCCACTAACCGCCTTCCTAAGCACCTCGCCGCCACCCCACTTCTCAAACATTTTATCCATCGTCATCGACTTCAGGCTGCCCGGGCGGGTGTTGTGCGTGTAATACAGCTTCTTGAACCGTTTTTTCCCCGTCGTATACAGGTCGTGGCAGCCGACGGCGACCACGTAGTCGCCGCAGTCGGTCGAGGGGTCCCAGATGGGCTTGTGCTTGCCCATGAGGAAGATGGCGATGGAGGAGGCGAGGCGGCCCAGGCTGCGCGGGTCGCGGCTTACGTCTATGTAGTGCCATGTTCGCGAGTAGGCGAGGCGGGTCTGGGGTGGTAGTCATGTGTTAGAGAGATATTGTGTTTTTTTTCTTGTGGAGGGGGTTCCTATGTATATATATGGAATGGATGGCTTACCCGTCCGACGGTCTGCGACATTATTGCGGGATTGCGGCTATCGATTCATGGGCCGGGCGGAGGTAGGGTTATGCGTATGGGATGGGGATGTAATGGGAGCAGCGGGAGACCAGACGGCGGTTGCTCCTTAAAAATGCAATGACAGACAAATCGAATATCCCCCGGAATAACAGCTAGAGAGACGCAACAACCACCAATTGAACTGTAAATTATAAGTCTGTCGCATATAGCTCTTATATCAAGCTCGGATTCCCGACATCCGTTCCGCCAACAGTATTTTTCTTCCCTCGAGGTTCAGACCTCCATCACGTGATCACATGCCCTAGCGCGGACTAAGCGAACTCGCACATCCCAGATTGGCAATTCTCCAGCGCCAACAAGAAACGATCGAGAGAGAGAGAGAGCGACGACGACGATATCAACGACAACCGACGACACTCTGCTACCCTTGGACTCTCTCGCGCCCACCCCCCGGAGCCATTCGTCCCGCCTCTACATCTCTAGCAAATATGGCTACTACTCAGAGTGTGCAATGCTTCGGCAAGAAGAAGACAGGTATGGAGGGTCTATTTGAACTTGCGACGGTTCATGTCTGTTTTATTTATGTTATTTTTTTGTCACTGACATTTGTAAAATCTTTGCTATAGCTACTGCTGTCGCCCACTGCAAGGTACGATATCTTATATCCGTTCATATCCTCGGGGGGAGTGCTGGGTTAGAATGAGAAGAAAAAAAAGTGGGAGCTGGGAATTTCAAGATTGGAGATTGGAGGTTGGAGAGCGGATTGGATTGGAATGGAACTTATTCTTGGGAGGGATACATACGATATCATAACAGGATACATGACTGACTGGATTGAAATTTGGGGAAATATATAGGCAGGAAAGGGTCTCATCAAGGTTAACGGCCGTCCTCTGGCTCTCACCCAGCCAGAAATCCTCAGATTCAAGGTGAGCCTCGCCGTTCTCTCTCTCCCCACACTCGTCGGACACTCAGGGAAAGCCTTAAAAGAGACGAGGAAAACCCTTTCGCATAAGAATAAGAATCAGAGCCACTAAACGAAAATACCCTCGGTCAAAAAAAACCTATAGGTCTACGAACCCCTCCTCATCGTCGGCCTTGACAAATTCGCCGGCGTCGACATCCGCGTCCGCGTCACCGGCGGTGGTCACACCTCCCAGATCTACGCCATCAGACAAGCCATCGCCAAGTCGATAGTCGCCTACTACCAGAAATACGTCGACGAGCACTCGAAGAACCAGCTCAAGCAGGCCCTCGTCCAGTTCGACAGAACCCTCCTCGTCGCGGATAACAGACGCGCTGAGCCCAAGAAGTTCGGCGGCCCTGGTGCTCGTGCTCGTTTCCAAAAGTCTTACCGTTAAAGCGATGTTGGGTTGTGTTGCGTTGCGTTGGGTTTTTGTTGGGTTATGCGGGGGGGAGGGAAATTGAGGAAGATATTGGGGCCGGTGGGAGTATGGAAGATAATGGAATTCTTTTCATGATGTCTAACTATCGGTTGGGATTTCGGTGGTTTTTGCCAAACGATGGCATGCCTATCGTTTTTATTATTCTAAACGAAACATGCTGGGGGAACGATAGATTAGGGCCCTTTTTTTTTTTTTTTTCACCCCCCGCTTGCAATTCAATTTTTCTTTCTGTTTTGTTCAAACTCATGCTGTGTGTTAAAAAGCTCCTATGAGTTACCGTGCTTGTGATGTGATGTGATTACGGACAGAATACGAATTTCGCACCAAAAAATGACCGCGCTAAAAGGGCACCGGGATTAGGCCTATGCTGTGGAGGCGCGGAAATTGGTCCTCATCACGCATTGAACTCGGACATGTCTACGTCTGACACGGACTCGCCCGCCTCTTCGTCCTCTTCTACTTCTTCCACCAAACCCTTTCCAAGACTGGTTCCCTCCCCCAGATCAACAACAACCGGAGCATACTCCCCCATCTCATCCTCCTCATGCGCCCCAATCACCTCCATTTCCACCCGCTCCCCATCCTCCAACTCCACCATGCCCCTCTTAACCGTCGCCCCCGGCCTAAGCTCCCACCCATATTGCCCTTTAACCCAATTCTCCAAAATTCCCAACTCTCTCCTAACCATCCGACCCTCTCCCTGCTCAAATTCCTGCACAGTGCGCGAAAACCGCGTAAGCAACTTCCTCAACAGCGCGCCTCCATCGTCCCCATCCATCTCAAACAAACCCCCCTCAACATCATCAAAGTGCCGCAGCTGCAAACGGAGTAGATGCAGCACCTGCACGAAGAACTTTTCCCGCCTGAGCACTGCCGCGCGGCATGTCAGTATCAACCCGAGCAGCCGCTTCCACTGTTCCAGACACGAGTAATTCATCAGCGTAAGAACCATCAGGAACGTAAATTGTAGCTCGCCGAGGATATGCGCTTCGCCAGCCTCCTGCCCTTCATTATCATCATCATCGTCAATGGTAGTCGTGGCCGCCCCTGCCTCCGTCGCAGTCGCAGGCGCAGGCGCAGACGCAGGCGCAGCCGTAGGCCCCTCTGCACCACCCACCCCCCTTTCCCCCTTCCCAAATCTCCCCACCAAATCCCCCAGCGCCCATGACCGATCCTGCGCCGCCTCCGTCCTCTCGCGCCCCACCGCACCAACCCTCCACGTCCGCTTCAGATCCACAGGCAGAAAACGCAACTCCTTCTCCTGCTCGCTGGCCGTGCCGGTGTCGCAGGCCCTTGCTACATCTGCGGCGGAGAGGCCGGGGATATCGTCTCGATCACGCGCGGCAGAGCTGCCAGAGGTCACGGTCCAGCGGGGTTGGGGCGGTGTGGTATTTTGGTTTGCAGGGATAATGGAGGTGGTGGTGGTTGGAGTTGAGCCGAGAATTCTAGAGAGGAGGGCGGGCGTTATGTAGTTTGTGAGCTGTGGCCAGTCGTTTGATGGTTCCTGTCTTGATTCCGACTCTAGGTCTGGTTCCCCCTGTTCCGATTGTTCGTGCCTTTGAATATCACCCTGTCGCTCCCGCTGTTCTGCCCTCGCCGTATCATATGCCAATAACTGCCCGTTCGCCCATATCCGCCCCAGATTCGCCCGCAACCTCATAGCATCTCTTTTCCCCTCCTCACTACCTTCATCGATCGGGATCAGAGCTTCAACCGCCCCATCCCATCTGCGCAGGCGTATGTCCACCCCCCCTGCCGCTATTGTTGCACCACCACCGCCACCGCCAATGTTACCGCTGGTGCGGTCGTCATGTATAAAAAACCACTCCCCGTTACGTAACGAAAAGCTCTCAGTCGTACCTGTGTATAGGAAGTGAGGGCCGGGCGGGAGGTTTTTTATGCCATGGAAGTTTGGGGTTGTGGCAAAGCAGAGAAGGTCGATGCCGAGCAGCGTTTTGGGAGGGACGGAGGTTAGGAGGACGGTTGGGGTAGGCGACTGAGAAGACATGGCGAGAGAGAATTGTCGGGCGGGATTGGAAGAGATAGGTTTAAAAGGGCAGAGGCATTTGCGGGACGGTTATGTCTGTTTTTTTTGCGAGGCGGGTGAAGTATAGGTGGGGGGCGGGTTATTTTTATATATGTAGAAGATATATTTATGAAGATTTTGAGCTATGGATAATCCAATATGTGAGACTTGTTTTAAGTAAATAGGCAGTATAGTATGTTTTGAGCGTTTTTTGATGGTTGCAAGTCGTTGAATATTCGCCTTTTCTTACATCATTGGGCGGGGAACTTTATAAGCGGGGCTAGGTTTGGTTCTTCAAAAACTACGATCGAAATTTCAAATATGGAGTGTAGTATACAATTACGCTACGAAACGGGTAACAGCGCATTTTGTAGGCGAAGGTCAGTAGTAGGTTAAGAATCTCCATTGTATTAATAGATTGTCAAGAGATCCCCATTATACAAGCTGGCAAACACTGTAGTCAACAGCCCGCATAAACGGAGGCCGCAGCAGCCATGCCCAGCTCAAATGGAAAATGCTTTGATATGAACAAACTCTACAAAGAAAAGAAGACCAGGCGAGAATACTGCCGTTCTTCGCGTTTATTCCATCCACATATGCTAACAGATACCCGGAAGATACCCGCGCAATCCATCCTTGGTCCACGTGCAATCGCAAGCTTCTTGCAAATTGTGCACAACCTGGAGAAAGTATAAAGAGACGACCGTCCCAGCGCTTACAGACGACGACCACGGCGGCCACCCTTCCGGCGAGTAGAGTCGGAGGGGGTAGGGGTCACATCCTCGATTCTGCCAATGCGCATGCCGGAGCGGGCAAGAGCACGGAGAGCAGACTGGGCACCGGGGCCGGGGGTCTTGGTTCCGTTACCTATGGTTGGTGTCAGATTATCAATTCTTCTCGCCCGACTTCGCTTCATTCCTATAATGATGTAAACATACCTCCGGTAGCACGGATTTTGATGTGCAGGGCGTTGATTCCCAACTCCTTGCAGCGAGCAGCAACGTCTTGGGCAGCCAACATAGCAGCGTAGGGAGAGGACTCGTCACGGTCAGCCTTGACCTTCATACCACCGGTGACACGGCAGATGGTTTCGCGACCACTGGAATCACCCAGAATATTAGCCCTCTATCCAAAAATTGAACCTTGTCGTGCGTCTAGAATTTCCCTTTCTCCAGGCAAACGCAACGCAATTCCATGTCGAGTCAAAGGAATTTCGAAATGGACAAGGTATCAGTTAAAGATGAACAATGGCACGAACCTGAGATCGGTGACGTGGACGAAGGTATCGTTGAACGAGGCAAAGATACGGGCGACACCGAAAACGAGCTTGCCTGCGACTGAAGTTAGCACGGTGATGCGCTTCCATATTTCGCGCAAAATCTGGGCTAGAGAAGGGCGAATTGAACGTACCATCTCCGGCCAGGGGGCCGAGAGAGATGTTCTCGTTCGCGGGACGTTCAACCTTCTTCTTGGGAGCCATTTTGGGCGTGATGGATTGGCGGATGTGGTGGATGGTGAGGAGAGTCAAAGAAGAGAAATCCAAAGCCGAAGTTCGAGATTCCAAATACGGAAAAGAGAGAAGTGTGCCCTAAATTCCTAATTTGGATGAGGCTGGTTTATTTAGGTCGGGCTTAGGGTTTAAATACCCTTGCCCTAACTAGTTACATTCTGGAAGACGTAGATGAGATGACTCAGCTGTCCCGGCCTTGTTAAGCGATTTCCGTGTTAGGACTAGCGTCAACCCTGCTCTCGAGCTTAAATTGTTTTCTTCTGCTCTTAATTTTTTTTCATTTCTTCCTTTCGTCCTTTGCAACGCGGTGGTGAGGAGCTCGTCCAGCAGAGATAAAAGGCATCGAATCAGTCAAGCAG